GCTTCTGGAATATTGCTTTGGTAGCTAGAAAGAATATAATTGCACCCCAAAAGAAGAATCACACTCGAAATATTATATTCAATGAATCAAATTCATTACAATAATCATGTAATAAAGAATGAACTCAGAGAGAATGAGAATAAGAAACAGAGAAAACAGCCAAACAAGCCCTTAAATTTAACTCTTCAAGAAAACAAAAAGAGAAACAGTCAAAGAGAAGACAACAGCTGCGCTAGAAACGCCCAAAGATAACCCAGCACCAGCGTCCGGTGACGGAGACGGGGTCTCGCTAATCTGAGCCGACGCGGAGGTTAGAAATGCCATGACCGAAGCCACCAAAACTGCCTTCATCATGCTAGCTTGAGCCATTTCTAAAGAAAATTGATGAAGCTTAGACAGAGAGTTCTGTTCTATTTGGGAAATGGTTGGAATTGTGACAATCTTGATCGGGTTGGGTTTTAGGGTTTGGGGGAAGGTATTTATAAGGGAAGTGGGAGGCGCGTGGGGCCTTCGGAGGGAAAGTGACATCTGTGCAACGTTCACATAACAGCTAATTATTCTCGAGTGAGGAGAAAAAGGGGATGATATCGTGTGCGCTGTGAACTGGAAAGGTTTCAACGGTCATCCAATAGAAGCATCTATGTCGGTAAATGGCATTGGAAGCCATGTGGGGTTGCTACTGCCCCCCTATGTTACGTTGGGTTGGTTGAAGGTTGTGTATGGTCTCCCAAATAATTCATGTTATAATAATTACTTATTTAAAATTATTTATACAAATTTTAACATGGAAAATATATTCCTATATTTGTACATAATATTTTTAAATTATTTATGTAAGTAATTGACAACTCATTATTCTTACAAGTAAACATAATTACGTAAATGAAATTTAAATCTTGAAAAATTCAGATAAATGGTAAGATTACACAAGAAAAGGAGTCCGAATCTTGCACATAAGATTGTGTCACATTGACTTGGATGCGGGAGCCATGCTCGTCATGGCCAGCAAAAAGGCCATTGGGTGGTCACAACAAGGGCGATGGAGAAAGTGTCATCGTTTCAGACATTTCAATGTCTACTGGTAGCCTATTGATAGTGGTAGCACGGTAGTGAGAGAATTTCCTCTCCCTTCTCTCTAGAGGTCTTCCTGGTTGTTGGGTGTCCTCGATGGTTTTTCTCGGTTTTTCCATGATTATCCATGGAATCCAGGTCATTGAGGTCTATTGTTGGACCTCAAATCGATTGTGTTTAAACGGGTTTCTCCAGTTCTTCGGATTGGATCGAAAGTTTATTGTCCAATGTCAACTTTGTTCTTCATCCTTAGTGGTTGAAGTTGAAGGTAAGATATATTTTGATCACTATTGTCGTTACTTAATTGATCTATGTGTTATGCAGGACCTCCTCAAGGGCCGACGGCACCGAAAATCATTCGAGAGAGGAGATGTAGCTAATATGAACACTCGGAAATGTCTTCATGATGTTGGTGACTCCAAGGGAGGGAAGAAGATTTGTAAGAATGAAATGGTAGGCGGCCATAGGATGAATATTTCGGAAGGGTTGGTCACCGGTCAAGGGGTTAGATGGAGGTCGGGGTCGAAAAACTCAGGAGTTTTTGATAGAGGGAAGGAGGAAGACAATCAGAGCACATATACCGAGGGATGATTGGGAGAATTGGGATGGTACACAAGCTGGTACACATAAAAAGATAATATAATACGGATTGAAAAGTTGTCTCCTTTAGGTACAAAAAGTTGGGGCTGACCATCCTACATAGAAGAGCGAGAAATAACTATTTAGGGAAGATTTCTTTAAGTCGAAAAGTCCAAGGTAGAAAAGATTTTGGGATGATTTTCGGTAGGACAAGATATGAGAGAACTTTAGAAGAGATGTCGTGCTATTTTTGTGCAATTTCTTTGGAGTTCCAACGTTGTTCTGGATATTTGTCCTGAAAAGCGAGGAAGCAATGTTAGAGGCAGATACACATTCCTCGAGGGAAGATATAGTCAATCTCATAGGACATTTGGAGATGTGTTTTGGTTGCTTCACAGTACGGTAAAGTACGTCATATCGACTTTTCAAAGGGTTGTACAATATATATCTCAAGGCGGGAGAATCTTGGAAGCATCAAATCGAAGTAAACATAAAATTCAGCAGGCGAGTCTATATCACCGCAATACGATGTTGCACGGCTCAACATTGGCTGTTGGTGAACCCAGCTGGGACCGAGACAGAAGAGGTAATTTGAGATCTTGTCTACCACAACAGGTTTCCCAAGACAGTAGCATGCATACTATTTGGAGAGATGGCAAGCACAATTTCTGTAGCCGGGTAATAGGTAGTTTGCACAAAAAAATACCTCTCGGTAAAATGAAGGTTTTTATCTACTGGTTAAAAGGGCTCAGGGTGATTGGTAAGGAACATGGAAACACGGGAAAGTCAAAGGCAAAAAGAGTATGTCCTTTCGGTTTGAATCCGAGCCACGATGGAAAAAGAAGACTAAGGGGTGGAGAGCTTATTGGAATATCTCTCACAAACAAAGTACAATACTTTGCTATTGCTTTAGCTTTCGGTTGTTTCTCTCACCAAGTGCTATTCGGAAGATTACTTTGTTCGATTGCCTTTTATCAAATTCTTTTAACTGTCCTGATTGCTTTAACCATGTCGGAAGAAGTGGTGGATTTGATTAAGCATATAAGTTTTACTAAGGAAGAATCGGAGGACATCTCCCCGCCGAGGTTCATTTCTGAGGACGATCTCTTGAAGATGGACAAGTGGGTAGTAACAAAGACCATCGGCTACAAGAAGGTTGATTGCGAGGCGGTATTACGGGTATTCCAATCCATATGAGGCAACAGAAGGCTGATGGATTCCAGCATATTGAAAGATAACATGTTTCTGTTTAAGTTCAAGATTATAAGTGACAAGCAAGATATCCTCAAACGTACTCCTTGGAGCTTCAAAGGGACCCTTCTGGCTTTAGCGCATTTTGATCCCACGCTAAGTTTGGAAGAGTTCGACTTTCGTCCATTAGCAGTTTGGGTGAGGATCTATGTGCTTCCTTTAGGGCTAATGAGGATGGAGACAGCGGAAAAAATTGGAAATAAGATCGACAAAACCATTACTGTTGATATGCGATTTGGGGAGGGCAGAATATGAGACTATATGTGTGTTAGAGTTGAAATCGACTGTATGAAGATGTTATGTCAATGTGTCAAAATAGGACAGCTTATTAATGGTCAGCCGATAAAGTGCTTGTTGAAATATGAGCGATTGTCGTCATTCTGTCATAGGTGTGGGATTATCGGGAATGTGTTAACCGAATGCCCGGGCTTCTCGGAGCAACTCCAGCAACCCCTTCAATTTGGTGAATGGCTACGCATGTCGGCCAATAAACGGCCTGAGGAAGGAAGCCTAAAAAGAAGGGAGGGAATTGTTTATGTTGAAAGTGAAGCTCAAGGAAGATCGATTACGAGTTTGGGTAATATTTCACTCTAGGACCGGTCCGCTAGAGTTGCTCGTAGCAGACCGTGGGTCCCGGGGAGGGATCTCCTACACTCGTCTAGTACAAATCAAGAGGAAGACTCTGATCCTACTGATCCAACTGGCCCGGACAGCTTGCCACCAAATATGTACTTGGTTCATGATTCATCGAGGAAAGAGGACCAGTAGCAGAATCAAACCCTCAGTGTGCATGCTGAGGTGAGGTCTTCAAGCTCCGGAAAGAGAAAAGGCGAGAAGTCCAGTAAAGGCAAGAAAAAGTTTAAGAGAATGGTCCGACAGGAGGTGAACACCACAAATTCCACATTGAATTCTAGAGTTGGCACCAACGAAAAAGAGGACCCGAGCGAGGCTCCGACTGAGCAGTCGGGTGATGTGTTACTGACGACGGTGGTTAAGGCTCAGCCCTGCCAGTCACCGTGAGGGTTTTAAGCTGGAACTGTCGGGAGTTTGGGGACCCTTTGACAGTTCGAGAGCTGCGGAGAATTATCTCTGAAATGACCCACTACTCACCTTTATCTCGGAAATAAAGCTTAGGAAAAATAAAGTTGAGTCTATACGACTTACAACGCGGATGTTCGGTTATTTTTCTATTGATAGAGCGGAAGACTGTGTTGGGTTGCTGTTGCTTTGGAAGGAAGGACTTACTGTTACTCTGCAGAGCTTTTCGAGTCTTCATATTGATATGGAGGTTCGATGGAAAGAGCACATGTTCAGATTCACGGGGTTTTATGGTCGAAGCGCGTGGACTGATAAGAAACATAACTGAGAGATGATTTCACACTTGTCCTCCACCTCCTCACTCCCATGGTGTATGGGAGGAGATTTCAATGAGATTATCTATCCATCTGAGAAGAAAGGAGGTCGAAGACGGGTTAGGGTACACATGTACGATTTCCAAAGGTGTCTTCGAGATGCTGACCTGTGGGACATTCGACCCAAGAGTGGTTGGTTTACTTGGGCGAGTGGAACTTGGGCGCATTATTTTGTGCAAGAGCGTATTAATCGGTTTGTGGCAAAAAATGATTGGCGACTTATGTTTCTTGGTTGTTCAGTGTCTACGATCCCGACCGCTTTATCAGACAACTGTGCTCATCTCCTTAGCCTGGAGAGTGGTTCTCCAAATCGGCCTCACAGGGTTGATTATTTCAAATTCGACGCATGCTAGGCGAGTGAGGAATAGTATCGAAACATTGTTCGAGAGATTTGGGAGAACAAAGAGGATTCATTTTCTAGCAAAGTTAAGAAGGTATAAGACAGACTTGGCAAATAGAAAAGGGTGCGAAGAGGACAAGCAAAGCGTGATGAGAGGCGTCTCAGAGACCGAATCTTTCATCTTGATTCAGCTCAGATTTCGGATGGTGTCTGTGAACAACGAAGCAAGGCCTTGGCGGAGCTTAAGGATCTTATTGATAAGGATAAGGCATATTGACATTAGAGATCAAGGGTAGCGTGGCTTAAAGATGGAGACTGAAACTTAACCTTCTTCCATGCAAGAGCGAATGGTCGACGAAAGAAGAATTCGGTTGAGGGGTTGGAGAATGAGAGGGGTTTGGTGTGATCATATGGAAGACATTTTTTATGTCACTACTAGCTACTTCACCTCTCTTTTTTGGTCTTCAGGTGCAACAACCAACGAGGAGATCCTGCAAGCCATTGATCGTTGCGTGACGCCGATGGATAATGAGATGCTCTGCCGCAACTTCACCCCCGAGGAAGTCACCCAAGCTTTTTCGCAAGTCAACCCTTCGAAAGCACCAGGTTTTGATGGTCTATCCGGTCAATTTTCTTGATGTTTTTTGGAAGTTATTGGTTGTGATTTTGTTGAACTCTGTTTAAGTCTGTTGAATGGTTCATCGAGCTTTGATTTTGTTAACCAAACTATAATTGTGCTAGTTCCCAAAGTATCCAGTCCAATGTCAATGAAAAATTTTAGATCGATAAGCATTTGCTCGGTCATTTATAAGGTTGTGTTAAAAGCCATTGTTAATCAGTTAAAGCCTTTGATGTCTGTTTGCATTGCGGAAAACCAATGTGCATTTGTCCCCGGTAGACGCATTTCCGATAACTTTTTAGTTACCCATGAGCTTATCCTTTACCTAAAGGGCTCAAAAAATGGCCCTAATAAGTGGGCGGCTATTAAGTTAGATATGGAAAAAGCCTATGATAGAGTTGAGTGGGATTTCGTTCTTAATGTCATGCTTCGTATGGGATTTAATGTTTTGTTTGTTTGTATCATACGTAAGTGTATTAGCACTGTTTCCTTTCAAGTTCGTATTAATGGTGCATTGTTAGATCCTTTCACTCCTAAAAAAAGGGTCCAATAAGGGGACCCCTTGTCCCCGTATTTGTTTCTTTTTTGCGCACAGGGACTTTCAGCATTGCTTCTTGTGGCTCAAAGGAGAAATGAACTTAAGGGCATTCGTGCTAGCCTTCGAGGACCGAGGATCTCATACTTACTTTATGCCGATGATAGTATCATGTTTGTGAAGAATTCGATCGATTAGTTGCGAAGAATAAAGAGTATTTTGTCACAATACTAAAAGGCCTCAGGGGAGAAGGTGAACTTTGAGTAGTCCAACATCTCTTTTAGCCCCAATACACCAGTTGCGGATCTCTTGATCTTCTTGAATTTGCTGGGAGTTGTGGAGTCTCTTGATCCAGGGAATTATCTTGGGTTACCTCTTACTGTGGGAAAAGACAAACGAGCGGCATTCAATTTTATTGAAGACAAGACGGTGAAGAGAATTCAAGGTTGGACAAAGTAACTTATTTCTTTTGGAGGTCGAGAGGTATTCATCAAGTCGGTTGTTCAAGCACTTCCAGCTTACGCTATGTCTTGTTATCTGCTTCCGGAAGGGGTTATTGAGGATATCAAGTTTCAATCGAGGTCTTATTGGTGGTCATGGAAGCATGATACTAGAGGTTGGCCTATGATTGCTTGGGAAAATGTGTGCTGATCCAAAAAATTTGGTGGGATGGGTTTCAGGGATCTTAAATTGTTTAATATTGCCCTCTTAGGCAATCAGGTGTGGAGACTCATTCACGACGAGGAGTCTTTAGCCTTTAAGGTTCTTAAAGCTAAATACTTCCCATGCACGAATTTTCTCGATGCAAAACTTGGGGATATGCATTCTTATGCTTGGGCAAGTATTATGAAGGCCAATGATGCGCTTAAGGATGGCTTTTTCTGGAGGGTGGGGATTGATAGCAAGGCTAGACTGTTCTCGGATAACTGGGGGGATTCTGGACTAATTCGGTGGAAGGAGAGGTACTTGGACAGTGCAGACCAACCAGTAAGGGTGGCGGATTTCTTGCTTCCAGGATGCCCCAGATGGGACGAACTCAAAGTAAGAAGAGTACTTTCCAGTGAAGATGCATCACAGGTGCTCAACACGCTGATTGCACCGGTTCGTAGTGGTAAACTACTGTGGTGCCATCATAGTTCGAGTTCATACTCTGCTAAGTCGGGCTACAATTGGCTAAAAATTCAGAATAACCCAACTTTAATTGCAGAAGGCATTTGGAATATAGTGGCTAAGGAAAATGTCCTCCCAAAGATAAGAATTTTTTGATGGAGGCTTTGTCACGAAGCTATTCCAGCGGGGACAAAACTAAAACAAGCTAATCTTAGGGAAGGTCTTTGTCAACTTTGTAATATTGAGCTTGAGTCGGCGTTGCACGCGATTAAAGACTTCCCCAAATCGAAGATGATTCTTTTGATGTCGGGCTTCTCTCAAGAGCTTGTTGTCTGGGAAGGAAATTCATGCCTACAATGGATCACGCGTGTTCAATCCAAGTTAAACCGCGAAGGGTTTGATTTGTTCCTCACCTTGTTATGGAATATTTGGAACCATAAAAATAAATGGATTCATGGTGCGAAGCTTCAATCGGACAGAGACATTATTTCTAAAGCCTGGAACCTTATTGGGGAGTTTAAGCAGGTCTCTAAACCTCTTGACTGTACAACTGGTGAAAACCCTCCCCGCATACCTCGAAAGTAGAGCAAGCCAATGCAGGGACTGATCAAGATTAATGTGGATGCAACATTTAGTAAAGAATCACACTTAGCCGCCATTGGAGTTGTGGCCAGAGACGCACATGGCATGGTCCTTGGGGGATTGGCAAGGAAGATTGATCCTCCCTTTACGGCCGAATCATCTGAAGCTACGACATTCTCTCAAGGTATTCGCTTTGCTACTGAGAACGGGTGGAACAATGTTATTATTGAGGGCGATGCCATATCGATTGTGTACATGTTGTCTAACCAGACCCAGAACAAGACCTAGGACATTTCTACAGTTGTATTGTTGCTCAATGAGGCTAGATCGCTTCTTCTTGACTACCCGTCTTTCAAAGTGCACTATGTTAGTAGGGAAGCAAATAGAGTTGCTCACACGTTAGCACAATGGACATTATCGAACCACAATCCAGTCTGATTTTTCCTAAATGAACCTGATTGTATTAAACAACTTGTCATTGATGATGCTATTGGAATATAAGTTATTCTTCCTTAAAAAAAAAAGATCGTGTCACATTGATAATGCTACAACAATCACCTTAATCCATGTATATTATTATTATTTTTATTATTATTTGTTTTTAAAGCCCAATTCATCAATCATCAATATTTTTTCTTATTTTTAATCCTAAAAAACTCTCTATGACATTTCCTGGTCAAACTAATTGTAGGTCAATAGGAGCTCTTAGTTGAACTAACAGATCCTTCATTAGATCAAAATAAATTTGAAGTCGTAAAACGCACATCAAAATTAAGTTTGAATCTTTACTCCTTAATTATTTATAATTTTAACCCTATTTATTTAATTTTCTTTTAACTTTGTGATCAGTTAATGTAAGAATTCATAATTATATGTGCTACGTATGATTATGATCAGAGTTAATTCATATGATCACAAACGAAATCAACTAGTACAAATCATAAATGAACGCATTTTTAATAGAATAATAACGAATATATCTAAACTCAACTAGAATGATTATAGATATAAATAAAATTAAAATATTGATTGAGAAAAGATTAATAGTTATATTGTTTTGACAGAATAGTTTTTTTAATAAAGTCAGATAAGTTAGAATTTTTTAGTACACACGTCAGTTATTATTAAAATAACATGTATGTAACATTTGTTATGGGTATATATATTATTATTATATGTAACATTTTTTCGGATACTATTAAAAAGATATATGCTGAAAATATGTTTGTAAATAAATTATAAATATTAAGTGAATTATTCAAATCAAGAAACTGTGCAACGGTTATAAGGTTTTTAAAAAAAACCCTAGACGTTGAAAAATTATTACATGGTCTCAGCTCACCACGTCATTTGTGGTATTAGCCAATAATATTTGTTCAAATCATTTTTTAAGGTGAATCTTCATCACTTTCGTAAATGTAAATAAAAAGTGTAGTTATTTGGAAGTTATTTTAAAATTTGTGACTCTCATTCACTGAGACCATAAATGACGTGGTGACTCGGGTCCATCAAATAATTTTTCACAGATGTTGGTTGTTGCCGCCAATATTTCTTGATTTTCTTTACTTTCTTATTCTATATCTTTTTTCTCATGGTTGGAGGAAAACCTAAGAAATGATAGCCTAATTCAAGAATAAGGAACGACAAAGAATATGTGCAACAAAAAATGTTATAAAAAACATAACATTTTGAACACAACCTAAAATGTTAACTTTTTACTAACATTTCCGTTTGAACAAAAGATGTTATCTTCTTCAAAACGTTTTCGGTTGGTAAATGAAAACGTTACGTTCTTTATAACATTTTCAATTCAACTGAAAAATTAGAAAAAAATTAACATTTTAGCTTGCGCCGAACGGAAAATGCTATATTTTTTATATCATTTTAGGTTGCGTCCATTCCCTGTCGTTCATTAACCTTAAATTAGGCTATCGTACCGTAGAACTACCCCATGATTGGATTTGACATCTTAAAGACTAATCAAGATGGTGGTTATTTGTTTCTCTACTTTAGACCTTTGAATTATATTTGGATATGTTGTTTGCATTCGTTGATAGTTTTCTCATGTCATCCAACTCTAATTTGGGGTTTTAGGTAATGTTTTGGTAGCTTGATCACTTTTGTGATTCATTTGCAGATGTAGCAAAATTTGTTCATATCTATATTTTTTTCAAACTTTTTGGTTAAGTTTTTAACATTTTTCTTGTATAGTTGTATGATCTTAAGTGACTAATTTTTTTTTATGTTATTGGTTATAAAAAAATATTCTGATTATATATTTAGTTTACGATTATAATTATAAACATTTATTATAATTCTAAATATTTTCTTTTTCTTTAAGTTGAAAGTGGCATCTTCTATTAAAAAATAAATTCTAAATATTATTTTTTATAATATCAAAATTTTGAAAATTTTAAAAAAGAAGTGGAGTGAAGTACGAGAAATCCCCGTCCCTCTCCAATCATATCCTCAGAAAAGAACGCTTTACTCTTGATCTTAACTCATATGTCCAATTAATTTATAAACAATTTCTTCTTAACAAAGGGAAAAAAACATTTGGCAAAACGTCTTTAGCAGCATTTTCACGACGACGACAACAATAATAATCACAATCAGCATATAAACAAAACCAAACTACATATGCTACAAAAGAAATGGATCACAACCCATCATTTATTTATGTTTGAAAACCGACCACATATGTATATGTATATACATCCAAACATATACCACAACAAACATGTCTAAAACTTTGGAATCGGAAATTGAAAATCATTAATAGCCCATAAGTGGAAAGGGTGGTGCATGTCATAGTCTTCAAACATTAATATTCATTGCAACAACAATACTGCAAACAAAGATACCAGCATGGAAGAACACAGCAACACACCAGAAGCCGGAAAAGTAAGGCCAGACCCGGTGTCCATTGCCGGGGAGGGAGCTATATCCTGTGCCATGATCCTAGATACATAACACACCACTACAACAAACATTGCCACCATGATGTGATGATGAGTTGCAGATACTCCAAATCCTGCCATTGACGACTTAACCCTAAATTCACCTACGGAAACTAAGCGAATGAGGAGATTTGAGGTTGGGACTGTATTTGGCTTTTGGATTTATAGGCGTCTCTTTTGGTACGTCAAATTTCCTATCAAACTTAGGTTGAGAAAATGTGCAAAACTTACATTAGCAATTTCCCTTTATTGCCTTTTAGGTTACGGCTTGTGGGCACCTACGAAACCTTTTAGTCAACCAATAACCTAATACTATATCTTTTCTTTTATGCAAATTTCATTTGCAATATATATATTAGAGATTAAGATTAAACTAAGTCGGTAATTATAATTTTTTATAATTTTTATTCGATATTAATAAAAGTTTTTTTCATCCATAATTTTTCTTATTTAAAATTTTCATGAAAAATAAATATTATTTTTATATTAATTTTTATTCAATGATATTTAAATAAAAATTCTAAAACATATTAAATACTTCAATCGATCAATTCTCATATTTATGAGTGATATATATCACAGTAGAATCGTCAAAATTGACATAAATGTTGATTATTATTTTGAATAATAAATATAAGATTGTTGCACCAAAACTTGATTAATTAAATTAAACTAACAATAAATGTAATTTTGCTTTTTCCATAAGTTTCTTCTATAAAACGACAATGGGCGTTGGGTGTCCCTTTTCACTGACATTGTTTGATTGTTTATTATTATTAAAATTATTGTTATCAGTAAAAATAAGATGTTACTGGACATGGAGGAATTATTCCTAATATATTGAATTAGATTATCTTATGTATACCTATTATATTAAAATAATCCCTTAAGGGTTGGCTTAGTGACCGGTTTTTCTTTTCTTTCTCTCAAAACTTTGAACATTACAAGTTACTTCACAAAATTATTGACATTAAATTAGCAACTTAAGATCACGTAAGGACCATACAAGGAAAGATTAAAAAATGTAACCAAAAACTCGAACAAGGATCGATACAAACAGATCTGATTACATTGGCAAACGAACCACAAAAGGTGATTAAGCTATCGAAAGACCATCGACGAAACCACAAATCAGAATCGAACGATGTGAAAAAACTATCCACGAATGCAAGTCAAGTATCCAAATCCAACCCGATGGTCCAAAGTAGGGAATTTCAGCATAACAACAGATAAGCGTCATCTTGATCAGTCGTGGTGATAAAGGCAGATGAAAACGTGGCATAAAGGTAGACTTATTGAAAATTAAAAACAAACGAAAAATAAAGATGTGTTATAAATAAATAAAATGACAATAAAAAATATAAACGATCGACAACCAACGTCAAAGTAGGTGTCCGTGCCAATCAAAAAAGATGAAAAGAAGAAGTATGAATTGCACACCACAAATGAGAGAAACTAAAAAAATTAGGGTAATAAAAAAGGATTAATTATAAAGAAGTTTAATTTCTTAGTTATGTTTGATTGATATATTATAATTATATTATTATTGTTTATATCATATTTGGTACTACAAATTGCAATTACGCAATTATATAAGTTTTAAGTTTTAACATAATATTAAGAAAGTGTTTCGACACTCAAATATAATTGCATGAAAATATAACTACTACTATAATAATTACACACTTGTAATAAAAAATTTACACTAAAATTAAAATTTAATACTATAATTAAAAATTAAAAAGATAATGACATAAACAATACAACAAACAACAAAACCCTATTCCCATATGCTATGGGGTAAAGAGGAGGTAGGGTAGTAGATTGCCCTCAATACCAGGTTGAGAGCAGCTTCCGTGGAAGACCTCCGGCAGTCAGGAAATTAAAAATAATGCTAAAATGTAATGCATGTATAAATAAATAAATAAATACATCGTTGAACAATCTTCATATGTAGTCTTCATATGCGCATATGTATTGGGAAGTAATCCTTGCAAATAAATCACTGCGTAAAAATCTCTGCATATAGACAGAAACGTAAGA